CTATTCTATTCTATTCTATTCTATTCTATTCTATTCTATTCTATTCTACTCTACTCTACTCTATTCTAGATAAGGAGACAGGTAATAGGAAAGATGAGAATGATGATGGTATACTGTCTTTCTAGATAGTTTGACAGAATTAATTGTTTAGCAAAGTGATGGTTTGGGGGAAAACTGTCCTTGGGTCTAGTTGTTCTAATTGATACTCTCTCCTCTACTTTTTAACATCCAAATGAGGCTGCTTAATATTCTGATGAAATCCAACTTGTTTCTATGCCCTCAGCAAGTTAAGCAATGGTGTGAATATCTAATTCCAGTGGCTGCAGGCTGTGATGATCTAGAAGCAGAACAGCAGCTTGGCAAGACTGAGTGGTTCTGAGTCTTGATCCTAGAAGGGGATTGGATTGCCCCAGACAAACTCAGTGTGCAATCCAGGGGGTCCTCTTAGAAAAGCTTGAGGAACATGTGGCCCTTGTATTTAAGAGGAACATATGGCACTTGTATTTAAGAGGTCCCTTGCACAGCTTCGTGTTGCACACCAGTTGTGCCTAGATTTGGAAGCCACCACTCGCAGTTACTCATGCCCTAATCATGTGCAGAAGGTGGCCAATATGGGGTGCTCTTGAAGATTATTCAGAGACTGAAGCTGGTGCACAATGCAGCAGCAGCACTTGCAGGTTTGTTTGCTTTAGAACAGCACCTATTATTCCTCTGCTCCAGGAGCTTCTTTGGGTTCCAGTTTGCTTCTGAGTGTAATTCAAGGTGATGGTTTTAATCTTTAAAACCATTCATAATAAGCAATAAGGTTGAGAGACTACCTCTTCTTGTTTATGTTGGCTCATTAGATCCAGCAAGAAGGTGTGCTGGGGTTACCATCTGTCAGGAGTATACATTTGATGGATCCCAGACAGCAGGTCTTATTGCTGTCCTATCTTATTGCAATTCCTCTAACCTCCAGCATTAGGTCAGCTCTATCTATTTTGATGTTCCAGTTCCTTAAGACCTGGTTATGCCATCAGGTCCAGTCTCAGGCAATCAAAAACTTGTTTAGATGACTCCATTATTGAGATTGGATGTTCTCAATTTTTCTCTGCTTGGGGTTTGTTTCTTTATTTTTTTTACAGAATTTATAGGCTGCCCATTTGACCTCAAGGTAACTCTGGGTGGCTATATTTGTGTATATTTTAATTTTAATTAATCTTTACTTTTAATGTTAATTTTTATATTTTAAAATTCCTGTTTATGTATGAATATTATTATTACTGATTATTATATACAACCCAGAGTCACTTCTCATGAGATGGGCAGCTATATAAATTTGAGAAATACATATATTCCAATATTTACATTCTTGTTTTAGAAAAGAACAGATTTATGATATACCTGAGATAAAGCCCATTTTAAAAACTGTTCTGAAATTTGACTTCCAGTCCTCTGGATGTTTTCTTCTTCCTCTGTGAAAGAGGAGAAAAGTTTTCTACCTCTTTTACCTTCTACCTTTTCTACCTAACAAATTAGTTTCCTTATATTGAAGTAAAATGGTACAAAAATGCAGATGTAGTTTTTAGTGCAGCACTGTAGTTTCCAATGAAAGGATAGTGTTCTATTTTTACTTTAAAGTAACTAATTATTCATATTCTCCTAGTATCCTTAACTATAAGTATTGCTATGTGTTAATGGTCAGTTCACAAATCTAAGATTAACAAGGAAGCTGCAAATGATGCAAAACATTTTTAAAGAGATGATAGGATAAGGAAAAAAGAGAAGGAATGGCCTATCCTAACAAAGCTAATAATTTCTACGTGATATCTCTGTCACTTATCTTTTGTGGTACATTAATATGTTGATCAAAATCTGCCATATATTGGAGAATTACAATTCATAACTCTGTAGTATAATAAAGTTAATGAAAGTGGAACCATTCAGACTGAAAACTGAATAGCTAACAGGCCTTTAACTTAATGACGGGATTAGAAGTGACTTTTATTTAGGGATCAAGTTTGATTATAGTTTCATGAACTGACTGATCAATATTTCTTACATGGAAAAGGTCATAATTATTTTTCTTTTTAGTTTTTCATTATCTATCATTCTCTGGCAAAGATACTACCAATGTAAAAATACGCTTTTTAAAATTGAAATTAGTTTCCATATATTTTACCTGCGGAAGAATCTTCATAAACAGATGCTTAGTTAATAGCATCTTTCTTTCTTTCTTTTCTTCTATTCTTTCTTTAAAATCTGTATTAAAATTGTGAATACTATTATATTCTTTCTAAGAATGAGCTGAGGCAGGCATTGAAGAACGAAACAATGTTTATTGTAACAAAGAAACAGGTTACCCTAGTCTGCCAATATGTTGCTGAATCAGCCAGCTGACAGGTAACAGCTGATGCTGTCTGACAGCTCCCTTTTATAGTTCACTGTCAGGCTGCTCAGCCAATCAGAACAAACAGAACTCCCGCTCAAATTGAGGACCAACAAATAGAACTTCTGTAGAACACAATAAATACTAACATAAAAATCTCTGTTGGACTATAGTATTTTATGTAGATAATTTGCCCAGCACTAAATCAGGTTAGAAGGAAACTTTTATTCTTTTAATTAAATAAAAGCCATAGTACAATGGGCAAAGTAATGGAATAAGGTCATAATTTTTACTTTAACAAAACTTAAAGGTACCAGGACAAATATACTCCAGTGTCAAAGATCCTGCTGTTAACTAAGCATCTGTTTATGAAGATTCTTCCACAGGTAAAATATATGGAAACTAATTTAAAGCATATTTGGTAAAGTGTGGCATAATGTTATTAAATTAGAAGAATATGTTAAAGAATATTAACCATTTATTTTAAATGATAAAAATATGTAATTCTGTTTTAAAAGCTTATGCTACGATACGGTATTTATGATTAGAATATTTAGGGATCTCCCAGAGCTTTGATGGAATCCTGGTTGTTCTCCAAAGCAAATTTTAAATTAGTTTTGCTATGTGAGAAAATGTACTATGTCAATTTAAATTTGTTATTTTTGTCAACATAATGGATAAACAATTGAAATATTAAGTTTAAGGTTGAAGTATAATTCTCTGATC